GCTCAAAAGCCTAACCGCAAGGCAGCGGTGTTTGGCGGGAAATGCAAATGCATTACCGTTTCTGCGGAACAAGTCGCCACATGTTCCAACTCCCAACCTGGAGGACCAGGAGACTGTATTCGTCAGACCTCTAACCATTGACCAACCTGGTATGAGAGACTCTGTGAATGTCGCGGGACACTCTTCAGTATAGCTCAATGGATCGCAAACCGTGAAACCACGGCAATGTCCAGTCTCTTCGTGACGGGATTCACTAGACAGGAGCGTTGGTTCGTTTATTTCTCTCTTCCGTACACTCCAGATACTACCGACGTTCCTATCTTAACAGGGTTAGTGAAAGCTATATAATCATAGGCAGAAGAAGAATTCACCCATCCAACCCCGCACTGACGATATCACCTCGATTGATGGAATGTCTACAATTCAACTGCTAAGCTTGGCGAACAGACCAACAACCAAAAGTTAGTAATTGCTAGGCTGGTAATAGCTCAGGTCCGCCTTTATTGTCTGAAAGCAATTTGGGGGCGCCTTTCTCCATGTGCTCATATTTTCGTTCCATGGACTCAGTTTACACGCACCGGAGAACAGAGACATATGTAGAGTCCAGCGGCCATAACGCTATCACGGGGGGACGATATGTTAGCTCCGCGGTCTGTATACCGCAGCAACCTCACAAGCTATACTGGAAAATCTCCTTGCGGGAATAACAGTTTCTACCGGGTCAGTCAGTGAATAAGTTCTGCTGGTTTTTGGGGTTGGGAATTGGAATAAATGCAGCAACTTGCTCTACATACACTACACTAGTAGTCGTGCACTTGCCACTACCTGCGATCAACCCTTTGAGTCATGGGTCTTAAGCACAAACTCATCTTCCTTCCATGTACCTTAACTGCTTGTCAGTCTATGAGGTCCGGATCAGTAAACATGCTCCAAATCCTTAGCTACCAGAGGAAGTTGTATCGGGCATACCAATCACATCGCTCAAGCGTGAACACGTTCACCCGTTCAGACGTGAGAATTCAGATGCGTCCAAGGTGCGTTGGTGGAATAGTCGTGACACGTTCTCACATGTCAGGTGTCCGGAGTTCAAATCCCGGACGCGGCCATTGGATATGCACTGCTGATGATCTTTAATAACAGCGAAACTCGAGTCCAGTGCTCTCCCCTTCGGTGTGGATTCACCAGAATAATTACGACAGGACAGGAGGACGACTGTTTAAACGAGAGTGACGTGAATGTGTATATAGGTTGTTTGAATGCCCTGACGCCTTCAAATCTTCCAAGTGTTTTTCCCTAAAAACACTTTTTTGGTAATCGTTCAGCTGTAACACCGTTGCGGTCCTAGCTTCCATACACCCCGAAGGAGGCATCAAGGTTGGGATACTGCCAGGTTGTCCAAGCCCAAACACCGGAATTCGAGACGCAGTTGTCGGGCTCGGACTACGGACCTTCCGGTCAGTAAAATCGTGCTCCACTGAGCTGGATATGCACTGCTGATGATCTTTAATAACAGCGAAACTCGAGTCCAGTGCTCTCCCCTTCGGTGTGGATTCACCAGAATAATTACGACAGGACAGGAGGACGACTGTTTAAACGAGAGTGACGTGAATGTGTATATAGGTTGTTTGAATGCCCTGACGCCTTCAAATCTTCCAAGTGTTTTTCCCTAAAAACACTTTTTTGGGAATCGTTCAGCTGTAACACCGTTGCGGTCCTAGCTTCCATACACCCCGAAGGAGGCATCAAGGTTGGGATACTGCCAGGTTGTCCAAGCCCAAACACCGGAATTCGAGACGCAGTTGTCGGGCTCGGACTACGGACCTTCCGGTCAGTAAAATCGTGCTCTATCCACTGAGCCAACTCGCCAGTTATCCTCCTTCCGCTTCTGCTTCACAGAGTATCCGTGATCTTTTCACTTCGGAGATCGAAAGGGAGCCCTGCACTGAAGGCAATACCTTGAACGCATGAGACTCACGATGCACCGGCCCTGTCTAGTGATGTTTTCGACTGTTGATGTGTCCCGTCTCAGGATCTCCATCCGGATGGACTGCAATGACCAGTGCAGCTGACTTTCTTGCATTTCGTGCTTTCCAAGCAACTCACCTCTTTGTTTCGCATACACTTCGGCTAAAGGACATTTTTTGGAACGAGCAGATCGTCTGCTTATCGTTATCTCCCCAAAGGACTGCTCTTATCCTCGCTTGCATGAATAGTGACAGTTGATATGTTTTTATCCGGTCGGCCAGTCTCCAGAAAACTGGTAGCATTCTAATTCACGAAATCCATAAGATTCTGATTATCAACTTTCAACAACTTTCACCACAATGACTGATGCGAATACCTCTTCAGAATTCCAGTCCAGGTTGATCGAATCAGTGATGCTGTTTGGTCTTTCTAGAGTCATCCATCCTACTATATGGAAGTATTCGCATGTTATGGGATGTAATATCCTGAAATCTGATCATTCAAGCGGCATATTTATGAGTTGTCACTCTTTGTATGTAATTTCCGTCCTCATCGCTAGCTACGAACCATGTTTTGCTCGTCCATGTAGCATCTGTTAGGGGGAGGAGGCTGCCCATTGTCGGCTACTTCTCAGGGTGCTGCACTCCATCTTCAATGCCGACGGTAGATTGACTGCTAGATTGTTTTCTGTTATCGCTACGACGAGAGTTGGTATATGTGCGTTGAAATGCTGAACGTTTTGAGTACTTGGACGCCACTGAATAATATTAATAATCGTCAAGCTGTAACTCCCTTCCGGTGCCCAGCTGCTATAGGACGAACGAAGATAGAGGTACTACCAACTTACCAAGCCTAGACAGGAACAGTCGGGATGCCGGATTGGGTTCCAAACACGGACCTCCTGGCCAGTAAGTTTACACCGTCTCAAACTCGAGATGAACGCCAACGGGTCCTATCATTGTAACGGGGTCTGCTGCAATAGGTACATAAGAGTAACTTGGTAATCAGATCTGTGGTGCTCGTTCCGAGCCATTAGCGGCCACATGACCAAAGCATAGGATGCGGTCACAAAAGGCCCACGAAATTAGTGCTTCATCAACCTCCACCCTTACTGCCTTGTGAATTGGTACCCAACTCGCACCAGACAACACGCTATATTGTTGAATGCTGTTGAAAGCCTTCGTAGTTGCCGGACCAGTTGGCCCCATTTAGCTCAAGCATGCTTACAACTATGCGAATTGTGCTACTATGAATAAGCTCAGTTTTAAAGACAGCAAAAAGTGTTTTGTCTGAACTAACTAGCCTGGGCTCATCAAAGGATCTGTGGTCCTTTACTAATGCGTTCGTGGGCACACGTACTCACTGATTACGTTTCCTTAAGCGATGAGTTTCTTTTCCACTGGATCCTCAAACTCCCTTAACCCCGTCTTTCTTCCTCGTCTTAGTGGTAACATTCTGATATCTCGCGAGCATCTGATGCATTTGGTTAGTTCGTGTCGATTGATAGTTTCTTCCCACTCATGTGACATTTCTTCATCTGCTCAAGTACTGCACCTGCTGGTTAAGCGGGGTTGTACCGAACATCATGAATGCGTCCTTCTTCAGTTTATACTAGGGTTTTGGAGGACCTTTTGCACTAAGCCCATTTCCAAAGCGACCGAAACACTTCGCCTTATTGTTTCTTCTGTCTTATTTACAATCCTGATGAGGATAGTGGCACGTGTTCCATTCACGTGTTCCCTTCTGACCCCTTCCGATTTGCCTTTAAGAAAAATCGCAATACACTAGAGGATGTCGCTTCCTTTGTCCACTTCATTGATCCCTCTGTAGACAGGTCGTTAAAATATTATTTTCTTGTATTGTTTTTTATTGTGGATAGGAAACTCATCATAACCACTTCTTCTGGGAAACTTTATTCCCCATTTGGTTGCATGACTGTCCTCTCGGTGGGACGGCAATGCTCTCTGCCTCTTCTCAATAGCACTGGTTTTCTCAAGGGTGCAATTTCATCTCTTTCTTTTACGGATCGCCCACCCAGGTAAACTTATGTATACCGACGGTCTGACTTCTTGTTCCGCTATTTTCTTCCGACCCGGCACTGAGACTTCTTTAGCCTATCTCCCCCTGGTCCCAAATAAACCTACAAATAACGCTTAAATGTGATGTTGCACTGATATCGCTCCTTGTGTGAAATACCTTGCAGGATGTTCCCTCACAACTGTGCTTGTATATACCCTGACTCCAACTGCCGCAAGTACCTGCATTTGATTTCTTCTTCCACCTGACTGCCCCAGTTGAAACGAAATTCTCAAAGCGGAAAGAACTCTTTCTTTCTGGAGTCTGTGTCAATTCGGTTCTCTTCACAACTTTGAGCGTTTACTCTCGTGTGTCCTTCGTCATTTCGCACTGTCCTGTAATTTTTCCTGGCCTTACGAGACCTGAAACTCGAACGAGCCTTATTTCAACGTTCACGCCTATGCGTCCCCTAAATACATTCTAATCTGCTTGTTCACAGTCTGCCTCACTCTAATCAGATCTCTCACCAATAGAATCTGGTGACCGTGTGAGTAATTCTTTCAAGCTCCCATTTTCGAGATGTATCAATAATCCTCGTCTATTGGGAAATCGTCTTGTATCGAGTTTGTTTGTATGTATATCTTGTTTCGTGCTTAAGACATAGGTCTGAGAAAGTGTTCCGTATTTCACACTAAGCTGCCTGCGGAATACAGTTGAGGGACCGTAATTATTCACCTGAAGTTCACTTATAACTACATTTCAGCTCTGCCTTGCGAGTACAATGCTTCATGGCAATGAATCGTTATGATCTGGCGGGTAAAGAAGTCCGGCGTATGCAAACAGCAGACGAAGACGCACTTCCTTGTCAATTGGCTACGGCTTTGTTCAACTTGAGCAAAGTAAGTACCGTGTTTTTATACGGTTCAGCGTTCAAGTATTGGAACAGCTAGAACTTCTCCTGCAAACCGAATCCCGAAGTGGAATATGTAAGAGGAAAAACGGAAATGGGCGTCATGCATCACCTCGCTACTATTGTAGAGTGGTTCTCTCGTTCAGAGCGAGTGCCCGCGGGACTGTAACGGTTACCCTTCCGCTTAATCACTCCAATCAGTTTCATACCCGCACCTACTACCTCTATCCTGTTTTGTCCGTCTCACGTTTCCTGATCGACACTGGTGCCAACATAAGTGTCATACTTGCCACACTTTCTGAATCCAAACACCTATCGTCGCCGCTTACCTTGATAGCAACCAAAGTAGCATCTATCAAAACATGTGGAGAACGAGCATTAAACCTCAACCATGGCCTTCGTTGCGAATTCAGTGGGATTTTTATCCTAGCCTATGTACATCAACCTATCTTGGGAGCGGACTTCCTAACCCACTCTGACCTACGAGTTGATCTGAGACAACCTTGTTTACTTGACTGTAGTACGCATCTCCCTGTTCACGGTCAATATACATTATCTCTCTCACTATGTCCATTAACGTTTCCACCAGACAACTCTTCACCATACCATAAATTACGTGACCTTTTTCCGGATCTTACGGAACCTAACTTTCATCAACCGAATCCGAGACGTTCTGTTTTCACCACATCAACACCCACAGCTCCGGTTTTTTCCTCCCACGTCGCCTATACCCGGACAAACTCAAAATTGCTAAAGAAAAATTTCAACACATGCTTCAGTTAGGAATTATTCAGCCGTCCAAAAGGGTATGTGATTCGCCGCTCCACACAGTCCTTAAGAAAGTCACAAGAGATCGGAGACCTTGCGGCGATTATCGAGCGCTAAACAATATGACAATTCCCAGTCGTTACTCCATCCCGCACATTCACGATTTTGCACCTAATCTATCGGGCTCTACGATACTTTCCCACGTTGATATACTTGGCGCTTATCACCGTATTCCAATTCACCCTGAGGACATTCACAAGACTGCAATTACTACACCTTTTGGTTTGTTCGAGTTTTTACGCATGCCATTTGGCTTGAGAAACGCAGCTCAAACTTTGCTTATTTAGATGAATTCTAGTCGCTAGTAATAGCATTCCATCTAAAGCAGTTGCATCTTTCAAACACTGGACTGCACAACCATGGGCTTGTTATCAACACACAAAAGTGTATTTTTGGCTCATCTGCGCTTACTTTTCTTGGCCATGCGGTTAGCCAGGATGATTTATCAGCTACTAACGATAAGCTCGATGCTATGCAAAGTTTTCTTTTGCTCATTTCACTTAAACAACTTAAATTTTTTGGCTACGTTTAATTTTTGCAAACGATTTATTACCAAGGCTGTCATTGTTAGCATCACTCACCGAACTCTCATCCGGCAACCCAAGAACGTTTCATTTAAGTGATTCTGTTATTTCTGCCTTTGAACAAGTCAAAACTTCCGTTGCGAACTCGTTCAAGTTATTTATTTGCAACCGAACTCTTGTCACTTAATGTGGACGCTTCCCGTCCGTTTCCTGAGTGCGGATTAATTGGAGGTGATGTTGCTCGAAACGAACAAGGTTGTGTACATTTACGTGCCAATCCACCGAACTGAGTGTAATACCAACAGTACCCCTGAGAACGGTTAGAGGAAACAGAACGATAGTGCTTGTGTGCAGGCTGAGGAGTTGATCGACAATGTTGAGAACAGTCAAAACGAACGGCAGCTATCTGGTCAGCGAGTTCATCAAGACGAACGTTGATTGGAGAAATTGTGCTAGACGAGTCAAGATATTCGAAACGCAACGTTATGTTTCGAGTATTTTATCGGCAGTACTTGGCAGTTGTATCAAGGGAACGTTATCTGTATCAGGTGCGAGAATCGATTGCACATGTGTTGGTAAGCGCTTAAGGAAAAGCTGTTTTAGCAACGCGTCGTCGATTTTTCTCTCAGCCGAGATGCTGTAAAGGTGGCGTAAGAATTGAGTGCAACCATCTAGTGTTTCACCACATCAGTTATTCTGAACATTTCTGTTCGGATGATGTTCGTGTGATTAATTTTAAGCTGTGTTAATGGTTGAACGCCCTCTGGCGATGTAAGGATATATCGTATATCTGCTGCCATTTCGGGAGAGAGAACGGATAAAACATGAAAGTACATAGTGTGCTCCTGTGCGATTCCGCGAAAGGCCAATTGAGGTTGTTCTTGAGTAAACCAGATGCGTGGATCATGGTGTCAGAATGGAGGCAGATGAACAGATGCGGCTTTGGTATTTGGTGCTGATGCAACTGAAGTTGTTGAATCCTCGCGTGCTGGAGAAAGCTTTTTAACCGTAGTGCGAACGAAATGGACTGTTTGCTTATTCAGTCGGGCTCACCAATTATTAGTGCGTCTGTTCGTAACTAACCAGTTAATAGGCACAGGATAATACGCTGTACTAAAATGTATTTTTACGAGAGGATGGATATATTACAAAAGCTAGGTGAACCTTGAGTAATATATATATATATATATATATATATAAATTTAAGAACAAAAATGAGTCATAAGTTGGGCACTTATCTTGTTCATATGGCTTCCCGTTGTCAGAGCGACTTGACGCTTTGCGACACTGTATGCTGGTAAATCCAATACCGGAGTGTGGCTTGCGTTGTTCAGGCTGTTGTGGGTTAAGCCGGAACTGCGTTCCGAGGTGCGCGTTTTATCGTGATGCATATAGGTGTTTGACCGTGTTGTGTCACTGTGTGTCGTTGCAATGACGGTGGAACGTGAAAACGATGAGGGGGAATCACATGGCACCCTTCAACAGGTGACGAAACCGGAGTTGACACGTTACCGACATGTTCACTAAGGTCGTATGCCTGTCATGATATTGACGCATGAATGTGAGACATACAACACAGGATGGAGATAGTAGATGCAGGTGTGAAACCGATTGGAGCAGTAATTAAGCAGAAGGGTAACCGTCACGAGACCAACCGTTGCTGTTCTCAGATGCAACCCGAATTTTCCACTTGAGGGGAACATCATTAACGAGAGCTTCACTTGAGTCTCCCGTGAAAACCAAATTGATTTGCATATGAGTGTGTTTGTCGATTCTATCCTCTTAACCATGGATAAGTCGAAGCGCTGACTCTTGTTGAGGGAATCACTGGGCTTATTCCAAGTGTAGAATTACTCCCATCAATGTGGGTGAAACTGCCCGCTTAGTTTTCGATCATTTCTGAACTTTCTCACTCTCTTTAACGCTGAACTTTTTCGCCGGTCATTTCGACTTTTTGCAACGAATTACGGTGGTAAATTCACACATCGACTTTATTACTGCCGTGTTGATTTCATTTCAGTTGGCTGCTGCGCTTCATCCTGATGATAGCGTGTTATTAGGATTTCTTGCTATTTTTTTCAATCCTATATCGTCATATGCATACTCCGCTGTTAGATTCTTACGTGCTCACCTATTTTCCGGTTCCGCGAACGCTTTCGTTGTCGAAGCACCACAGATGTTCATGTTTCTGTCAACGCCAATTTGTGTACTCTGCAACTTAAAGCCCGTATTGATTTTACTTGGAATTCAGTTGTCGGACTGTGTATTTGACGGAGCAACAGTAACCCCTGATCAAGATCTTTCGTAAGCCTTTTTTTAACCTAAATCCGAACGGGATCAATACATCTCTATCAGAATTATAGATGTTATGAATTAGCATTCAATGAACTACCAATGGTGCTACTATCATCCGAATGTTTGCTGATACGGCTGGAACGCATTCGCTGTCATGGATGTTCTGTCTGTTGCGCGCATTCACTTACCGTCTACGGAGAACGGTGCTACATTCCATTTCGATTTCAAGGTACTGCAAACCTATAAGGGTACAAAAGTGCTTAGAGTGCCTCCAGATGATGTTGGTGCAACCCGTCTTTCAGGACGAGTCTTTCTGCTTAGTCGTAGATGCTGTATGATGGACAGCAAACTGGTGCTTGTACAAACTTTTATTCGAGTTTTTAGCTCGAGGTCGGTGGTCTCGTCTTCTCGGTAAGTTAGCACGAGATAGCCCTGCTTGCCGTTTTTCTGCTAATAACCTATCGTAGTTGCGCCTCCTTGAGGGTTTGGGGTTCCACTTTGGTTTCGCTGTCAGTTGTCATAGAGAAGTTGGAGCGTGTATATTCACTTCACCCGTTATGCTTGGTTTTTCGGTCAGCCGTCTTTAGAGCTGTTTTGTTTTTTAGGGTGGCGAACAACTCCAAGAAGCTCTAAACATCTATGAAGAACTCAAAGAACGATACGGTGCTACCTCTGTTATACTGAATGGACAAGCGGCTGCTCTGATAGGAATGAATAAATGGGAAGAAGCTGAGAGTATTTTACAAGAAGCGCTAGATGCGGTAGGTCGTTTTTTCATTGCATTCCGATATTTTTTTACGGGGTACAAATTGATCTAGGCCTGATAGTGCACATAAGTGTGGTCGGACGAGTTTCTATTGATGTTCTGCAGGTAAGGCAGGTGCACAGGACGGGGGTGCGTTGCGGGAAGCGCCTTTATATTGTAAGTATGCTACCAGTGAGGGAGCAGCTGGCTGAGAAGATGGTTTATCCCCATCCAGCCTTGGTCAGTTTTTTTTCAGCTGGATAATCTATATGGGTAGTGGATAGGAACCAAGAGTAACACATTCAGAAGCTACCGAGGCGTTTCTCGACGTGTCTTGCCTCTTGGGAAGACTAATGTTGACCATTGCTGAACTGTTCGCTCGACAAACAAACGTGCGATTACCATTGAGTGTACTCATCTGAGGTTGTCCCTCTGACAACTTTCCGGTTTTCTAGAACAATGCCTTCTGGATATCCGCTGACCTCTCGGCAATATGTAACCATGACAATGCATCAGACGGCGGCTCTGCATGAAACCGTCAGCTGCTGTCATGTGGGTCATTATGGAAGAGTGCTTTTTATGCGACCTAGTCAGTTTCGGACATAAACGGAACTATTTTTCATGGAAAAATTATTTCAATAGTACAAGAAAATGTCATTGTTATAGGAGTGGGCATTCGATGTATACTGCGGCTGGTGCCATGTTCCCAAATCCTACTGAATGCTGAATGAGCTTTAAAGCTGAATCGAACTATGGTCAAACTATCTCACCAATTAGTGTTGCAGGTGCGTTTGGGACGTGGATCGTTTTTACTTGATGGTCGTTTTTCTTAACTTAGATCGGGGACAAAGTATGTTTCTACCGTGGAGTTTCGTCTTTGTGAGGAAATCTGCCATGTGAATATGCTCATATTACACCACGTATGGCTCTGGTGAGTATGTTCCCCTGTATTGTTGATGGAAGACGAACTGTAGTATGCATGGGCCAACAGTGATCACGAACTGAACGCTAATTATCCGGACAAGATGTTACCAAACACTGGTGACAAATAACTGACTTCATCACGTAGAGTGCTCACTGTACACCAGTTTTACACACACAAAGCACTTACAGGTGAGTAGCACGGATTTGCTTGGTAAACGGGAAACTTGTGGGTAAGGATCATGGGAGTTAGACTAATTCAGGCATCCATCCCCCAGAGCACATATCACGTCAACTTTCGAAAGTGGTGACGTTGTTCAGAGTAAAACGCGCTGCTCTTTTTCGGGCACGCCGAAAGTTGCCCTGGGCGTCCCACCTTCATCGATCTGTGAATTTTCTTGCACTGTCTATAGTATGAAAACTGGAGCTGCATATTCCCCATTGATCCTCCGTTCATATGTAAGGGCTTCCGGCCTTGGGCATTTTCTTTCTGGATAGTTCATCCACATTCAGACAGCTCACCGTCTTCTGACAGGATACAGCCTCAGCTTACGGAAGCTCCGTGTCTTGTCACTACAATATCCCGGGTAAGGTCACCAGCTTCTCTTCGAATTACTGGGTGTCTGCAGCCCACGTTCAATGATGGCTCATTAACGCCCAACTTAACAGCATTTTTATCATGAGTCCTTGATTTGCGCGCCTTGAACGGAAATCTCCGATGATGGGTTTTTCCAAGTAAAGAGAGTGCAATGATTCCATATGGTAGAAGCTGTCCGTACTTCCGGTTCGAAATACGCCTCCGACGAACACTGATTTACCGTGTACGTAAAAGTTATCGCCTGTCAACTCGGCTACACATGACTCACCAGCTTTTTGACCGCCTAATCTGATTTGCTAGGAAACCCACACATCAGGACACATACTTTGTGGCTTCAAGTGAAATCATCCGGGTAGTGGGGTGTTTATTGCTCCGTTCACGCCTGATGTCCCTAACTCTAATGAGAATTTATTCTGTCAATCCAGAGAGCATTTAGGATGTGTCCCTCATAGAAGGGATCCGCCTATTTATCATTCAAGTTCGTCTGTTATAGTGGAGAAAATATCTTTTGGTTGGGTTGATTTATCATTATCTTTTTATTTTTTATCTTCTGTAGGATAACAGCAATCCAGAGGTGCTTGTCAATTCAATTATGGTCGCACAACACTTGGGGAAGCCCATCGAGGTAGGCGACATTTCTTACCTGGGCCTTGCATTTCTTGATGTTGATGGGACTGCTCCTTTTGATTAGGATGCGGTGCCATTCTTCTGATTGTGTCATTGTTGGAACGAATTCCACCTTAGCTGACGTATGCAAGCAACCTTTCTCTTGGGTTCAGATAACTGAAATTGTCCATACTCACATCACTCTGTTTTGAACGGTTGTCATCCTGTTCTTGCGTAATACCGTCACGAAGAGACTGGACCTTACCGTGGTGTGACGGTTTGCGCACCTCAGCGATCCATTGAGCTATACTGGAGAGTGTCCCACGACACTCACAGAGTCTCTCATACCAGGTT